TATATATTTATAAAAATGTGTATATATGTTGTGGAATGGTGAAATCATGTTTATTTCAAAACAGCTAAAAGAGAGGGTTTTAAATGTTCTCTGCTTTATTATTTACTCATTTTGGTGGGACTGGGGTTTTGAACTCAGGGCTGTGCACTTGCAAAGTAGGCGCTCTACCACCTGAGCCACACCTCCAGTCCATTTTGGCTTGGTTATTTTGGAGATGGAGTCTCTCCAACTATTTTCACTCTGGTCTTGAACCCTAATTCTCCAGATCTCAGCCTCCAAAGTAGCTAGGATTACAGGCGTGAGTCACTGGGTGCCTGGTTATGATTTGTTTTTTTTTAATGAGAAAGATGTTCACAGGGCTTGAAACTGTTTAGAAAGAACTCTGGTGAACCATCTTGGAGAGGACGGAGGCAGAGAAAGGATATTTAAGACTGACACTGAACACTGTGTTAAGTGTTCAGTCTGCATGGTAAGTGGCACTTCCTCCACAGAATGGATTGGTATTGTTTTGAGTGCCTCAATAATAATTCCCTTTCCTGGGGAGCTAGAGCTTCACTTTGTAAGCAAACTGTCTCAATTTTTAAATGTTGGTATCTAATTAAAACCCTGTGGGTCAAACGGTGCAGTTCTTGACTGCAGGTAGAAGGAGTGTTGTCACCAGAGCTCCTGCAGTGCCTGACTGTGTGCTGGGCCCACCAGAAGCAAAGGCAGGTCAGCGGCCTCCCCTGGAGCTGCAGTCCAGGGGGAGCAAAGCCTTCCCCACTGGGATGTGGCGCTGTAATGGGATTTGGCTAATGGGATTGGGATCCAGATTATCCTTGAACTTCTCCTGAGGCCTGGACCTGCTGAGTGCTTTTTGGTAGCTGAAATTGAAACAGTCAAGCAATCTGTGACAGGCAGGGGGATGTCTTGGGAAACGTTTGTAGGGGTTTAGCGTTTCCTGAGGGCTTTGGGTATCTCATTTGATTCATTCTGTTAAATGAGCAATAATCCCGTTTTCCTGGTGGGGCCTTGAAGGCTCATAGAATCTAAGAGTCCTGGAGTCCCACAAGCTGGGGGGAGGGAGGGGCCCAGGTGTCTGGGTGTGTTTCCTAAGTGGTCACACAGCAGCTCAGGTAGGGAAGGGGAAAGGGGCCCTGAGGATACTGAACACCAAACGTTCATGCTGGTCTGGAGGGGCCTCCCAGTCAGTAGGGGGTTGATCTCACCATCTCCCCTGAGAGCAGTCACAGAAGCCCAGAGGGATGAAATGACTTGTCCAAAGCTCTATCAGGAAGCTCGGGAAAGGTCCCGAAGTGTGTCCCTGAGCTCCTTGAAGTCATCTGCAAAGTGTTTGGTGTTTGCACTTTTATATGTTTTTCAGGATAAAAAGGTCTAAAATGTTCAACAGAGTCTCAATGTAAGTCGAGGCCTCTCCATCAGTTCTGGTTAAGGGAATCAACATTTGTTGAAGTCAAACCCATACAAGATCTGGGTCTGTGTTGTTCCAGAAGAAGTCTACACATGGCAAATGTGGTCATGTAACAAACCATCCTAAATGTAATGGCTTATAAAAACATAATCAATTTATAGTCTCATGGCTTCTGTGAGGAATTTTGGAAGGGACTGACTGGGGGGATCCTGGCTTGGGTTTCTCATCTGCTTTTATTCAGACAGTCTCTCTCCGTGCAGTGTCAGGGTCCCTCCTGGTGGTCCGCCTGCGTGGGCGGTTTAGGCTTCCTCACACATGACTGCTGAAGGCAGTTTCTTGCTCATGAGGCAGCTCAGGGCTGCAGTGTGAGTATTCCAGCCAGCAAGGCGGCAGCTGCATCACCTTTCCTCATCACTGCCACTGTGGTCACAAGGTCCCTCAAGATTCAAAGGGAGCCAGCATGGTGGCTTACGCCTATAATCCTAGCTATTTGGGAAGCAGAGATAGGAGGGTCTCCTGATTCAAGGTCAACCTGGGCCAAAAAAAGTTAGTGAGATCCTGTATGAAGGGTCTTTCCTGAGTCCTACTGGAGGCTTTGAAGTTGGGCAGATCTCTGACTTTCCTACAGTTGCAGATTCCTGGGTTGATGAGAAGGTGACAGCCCATCGGAAGAGGTGAGGATGAGGGAGGCCTGGGAATCAATGTCAGACTCTCACTTCCTGGGAACTTAATGGCTTCATAGTGGTGTCTAAGTGGCACAGGATTCCATGTCAGTACATGACACTGCTATTTTATATTCTCATTTCTCTGCATTTGCAGATACTTGTTATTATTTGTGGTTTTGATCATAGCTGTATGCACGGTGTGAAGGGGTATCTCACTGTGTTTTTGAATTTGCATTTCTATAATAATTAATGATGTTGAGCATTTTTTCATGTACCTGCTCCCATTTGCATATCTTCTTTGGTGAAGTGTTTATTTGAGTATCGCCCCCATTTAAAAACTACTGAGTCGTAATTTGAGATGTAATTATTTGAGTTCTCCTTTTAAATTTTGCACAAAAGTCCTTTGCTAGATGTGTAATTTGCAAATAGTTTCTTCTACTGTAAAGCATATCCTTTTATGCTCTTAACGTCTTTTTAAAATTTTAAGAAAGTCTATTTTCTTATGCATTGTTCTTTTGTGTCATGTCCAAATTCTATGTCATAAAGACTTCTGAAATTTTATAATTTCGTATTTTACATTTAGATCTATGATCTATTTTGAATTAATTTTCTGTATAAGATGTGAGTTTTATATTGAAGATCATTTTTGCCTAGTCATTTCAACACCCTTTGTTAAAAGCCATGTATTGAATTGCTTTTTCACTTTAGTAAAAATACAGATAACCATGTTTTCATAGATTATTTCTGGACTTTCTTGTCTGTTCCATCAATTTTTTCATCCCTTCACCAATTCCACACCATCTTGGTTACTGTAGCTTTATAGTAAGTTTTAGAATCAGGTAATGTAATTACTACATGTTTGTCCTTTTAAAAACTCTTTGAGATATTCTGGGTCCTTTGCATTTCTATATAAATTATTTTAAACATCCTAGTTTCCTTTTTGTATGAATTTTAGGGTCACCTTGTCTATAGCTACAAAATACACTACTAGAATTTTTATTGGAATATGCATTATTATAAATAATACAGGTGTATGCATTGCTTAATGACAAGAATATGTTCTGAGAAACTCATCATTATGTGATTTTCATCGAGCAAACAATGAAACAGTTGGGCTGGAGGTGTGGCTCAGTTGGTAGAGAGCCTATCTAGCAAGCATGGATCCCTGAGTTCAAACCCCAGTACCACCAAAAACAACAACAAAAACAAAACATCATAGTGTACTTGTATAAACTAAGCCAGCTATGATGTCATTAGGTAACATAATCTTATGGGATCAGTAGTATAAATGTGCCCCATTGTTGACCAAAAGGTTATGTGGCATATGTCTTAAATGCAGAGTATGAAATACCAATCTGTAAGTTTATTTGGTGGAGAACTGACGTGTTTATCATTTTGAGACTTGTATTATACAAATAACACCTGTATTATGTTCATTTTCTGGGCCTTTTTAGCATTTTGAAGCTTTCAATACATAGGTTTTGTACAAGTTTTGTTTATGCCTAACCATTACTTTCAAGACACTATTTAAAATGTGTTTTTAATGGGTTAATTTTTTTTCTTTGTCCTAAATTTCAGTTGCTAATATGTGGAGTTACAGTAGAACTTTGTGTGTTGGCCTATGTGTTCTGTGACCTTATGAAACTCACTCATAGTAATAGGAGGTATATAATTAAAGACTGCATCTATGAAGAGACATTTGCATATTGAATAAGAAAGGATTTCCTATATATATTTATCATAAAGAAAATTATGTAAGGAATGTTAACTTTTTTTTGAAAAAAATGATAACATTTACCTTTGCTTGTGTGCCTTCCATTATATTTGGAAGTCACACAAGAAATGTGACAATATTTTTTGGAAGAGCAATGTGGGGGGACCCTAGATGGCGGGAAACCTTTCAATTTCCTTTTGTACTTTGCACATTCAGTACCAATTGTATGTGTTAGTCTTAAAAAAAAAGAATTGTTTTAAAACTTTTCTTCCTTCCTTCAAGTACTCCCAAACTTTTTCCTAAAACTTTTTATTTTGATATAATTGCAGATTCACCAAAGATTTCTTCTTAGACAAGTATACAATTATCTCCTCACCACTCAAAACCTCCCCCAACCACAGCTTCTCCAGGGACTTGGCTGGAGCTGGCAGCTCACACCAGTTCTTTCTCCAGCAGGAAACTGCCTAGCATCTGATTTAAGAGAGATGTGTGTGTGTGTGTGTGTGTGTGTGTGTGTGTGTGTGTGTGTGTGTGTGTGTGTGTGTGTGTAATCCAAGAGGTGGGTGTGTCTGGCAGGTGGACATTTACTTTTCTCTGCATCTATTTTTTGCATATACAAGCACGCACATGAAATATCGTTTAAACACAAGTTTGACAAACACAGCAACCCAGACCCCTCCTGCGCCCCTCACCCCTTCCCCTCAGACAGCTGGTCTCTCTCCATCCACAAGCCCAAGGCCTTCTTCAAAGGAGGGGTGGAGGCTTTGGGAATTGGACCAGCTCTAAAAGAAAGATGTTTTCCTCATGGGTAAACTGGAAAGTTAGTGTTGGTTCTACCAAGGAGTAGGTAAAGGAGAAATAAGGAACCTAAAAAAGTCGGAATCATTCATGCGAAGAAAAGTTAAGAGCTGAAACATTGTTATTTGAAAGGGCAAAGGCGAGCACGGGCTGCCTGCCGGGATTTGTAGTCCCTCTTAGGGAGGACCACAGCGCGCGTGCACAGGAGGGCGCGCGTGCACAGGAGGACGCCAGTGCAACACCTTGCTTGGATTTGTAGTCCTCTCTGGGGAGGGCCACGGTACTTCTACGCCGGAGACGCGAGCGCGCGCTGCCTGCCGGGATTTGTAGTCCCTTCCGGGGAGCGCCACGGGGCGCCTGCGCGGGGACGCTAGCGCTCTTCCCAGCGCATGCGTGAGGCGCCGGCGCCAGGAGTAATTGCGCCCAGGCTGGGCTGCAGCGCAGTCCTCGGGGTGTTGAGCATGGCAGTCCCTACGGCAGTTGTCGGGCCTTCGGCTCTGGGCCAGAGCGGTCCAGGTTCGCTGGCTCCTTGGTGCTCCGTGAGCAGCGGCCCATCGCGCTACGTGCTCGGGATGCAGGAACTGTTCCGAGGCCACAGCAAGACGCGCGAGTTTCCGGCGCACAGTGCCAAGGTGCATTCTGTGGCCTGGAGCTGCGACGGGCGTCGCTTAGCCTCGGGATCCTTTGACAAGACGGCCAGCGTCTTCTTACTGGAGAAGGACCGGTTGGTGAGCGTCTGGGGCCCGAACCCAGGAAATACGGGACGAGGGGTGGGACAGTGGGGATAGGGACGGTGTGTGTGCTGGGCACCGGGGATGACCAGAGGCCGGCGGGCGGTGCCTGGCTGTGCGGGGAGCGTGGCCGGAAGAGCGCGAAGACCGTGGCCGGAAGAGCGCGAAGACCTGCAGAGATCCAGGGAGCCGTGGGAAGGAATCCTGTGGCCGTGTATCATGTCCAGGGGCTGATGAGGCAGGTGCAGTCCCTGGGTGGTAACAAGGCCTCCTTTGAAAGTGACAGGGCGTTCTTTGGGTATGAGCTGATGGGTTGGGGTGTTGGTGGTAGAGTTGAGGATGGAAAATCAGAAAGGTAAGAAGCTCGAAAGGTCAAAAGAGAAAGAGCTGAGGTGTGGAAACTCAGTGAGTAGGGTGGAGGGAAGGGAGGATGCGGAGAGCTTTGGAGGAAGGACTGCTGCATTCTTTTCAGTTACCCAGATCTTGGTTGGTAGCCATACCTTGTTTTGAGTGGAGTTAAATTGCATTTGTAGGCCAGGCGCTTCCAGTGACATCTGGTTTCTGTGTTTTAAGGTCAAAGAAAACAACTATCGGGGACATGGGGACAGTGTGGACCAGCTTTGTTGGCATCCAAGTAATCCTGATCTCTTCGTCACTGCATCTGGAGATAAAACCATTCGCATCTGGGATGTGAGGACCACAAAATGCATTGCCACCGTGAACACTAAAGGTGACTATTCAGAGAGGGCATTGGGAAGACAAGCCCCTACTATTCATTTAACAGCCATTTACCAAGTACAGTCTTTGTTTGTGCCTGCTGCTCTGCTGGGTAGGAGCATTGGAGCTGAGTGAGTAAGATTTCTCCATCTTCAAGAACCTTATAATTAGTGTGGGGAGAGAGACACATGCATAAAAAAAAGCATACTATGACATAGTTTGTCATAGAGATGTCAACAAGGTGGATACCCAGGATGGAAATGTTCACATCTATCTGGGGGGAGACAAGAAAGGCCTTACAGAATTTGAGCTCTCTTTTTTTTGGTGTCACTGGGGTTTGAACTCAGGGCCTCACGCTTGCTAGACAGGCATTCTACCACTTGACCCACTATACCAACCCTTTTTTTGTGATGGGTTTTTTCCAGATAGGGTCTTGCAAACTATTTGCCTGGGTCTGGCTTCGAACTGCCATCTTCTAACTCTGCCTCCTGAGTAGCTGGGATTACAGGTGTGAGCTACTGGTGCTTGGCTGAACTCTCTTCTTGAGTAACCATATGATTTAGTGGTCACGGTACAGGGGGGAGGCAGTTCTAAGAGGGAACAGAATATATGAAGGCGTGGAGAATTTGGGGAATTCTGACATGTCAGAAATGCTGAAACTTGAATGAGCTTGGTGATCTGGAATAAAATAGCCAGAAAGTTGTGCATTACATTTATAGGCTTTGTTCTTAGCAGGTAAATCCTATACGTCTTGAGGTCATTTACAGTAATCGGCCCTAAGATGCCACTGATTGTAAGATGCACCAGGATTTTATGTGCCAGATAACCATAATACACCAAAATTTTGAGATACATCATAATGCATTTTAAGACATACCATAGATATTAAAGTGTTAAAAAACAGCATTTGGGTTGCTAAAGTTGACATTTTTACTTTATATGTTCAGTATGGAATACTGGACTTGATTGACAAGACTTGTACCTGGAAGTGGGATGGTGTAGTGCTTCCTAGGTACACACTTGGTGATGCATGAGTGCTTCAGCTGGTATTTGGATGAACATTAAAACATAGTTATATGTATATTGTAGTGCCTACTAGAAGAAAAGAACTACCTCAGAAAATTTGTTGCTCAACTGAAAGTATACAACTTACTTAAGTAAATCTTTTGAGTTAATTTTAAGGAGAATCTTTCATAAAGAAAAGTGTAACTATTACATGGTTAGGACAAAAGTTGGGAAGGTTACATGTGAATGACAGGAGTTTTAGAAATGCTTTGTAACTGAGTGCATGCCTGTAATCCTAGCTACTCAGGAGGCAGAGATCAAGAGGATCGTGGTGAAAAGCCAGCCTGGGCAAATAGTTGGAGAGACCCTATCTTGAAAAAACCCATTGTAAAAAAAGAGCTGGTGGAGTGGCCCAAGTGCTAGAGTGCTTGCCTAGCAAATGTGAGGCCCTGAGTTAAAACCCCAGTGCTGCCAGAAAAGACAAAAAGCTGCTGATTGTATCTGGGTTCCCAGGGGAGAACATTAATATCTGTTGGAGTCCTGATGGGCAGACCATTGCTGTGGGCAACAAGGATGATGTGGTGACCTTTATTGACGCCAAGACACACCGTTCCAAAGCAGAGGAGCAGTTCAAGTTTGAGGTCAACGAAATCTCCTGGAACAATGATAATAACATGTTCTTCCTCACAAATGGCAATGGTTGTATCAACATCCTCAGGTGAGGAGGCTCTAGCTTGGGGGACTGTTGTATCTTTGTGCTGAGTGCCAGATCAGATACAGAGGTGAGCTAGGCATGAGTCTGTCCTGATGGATTTACAGATAAATAGTAATAAAAAGTCCTAGCCTTTGTTAGGCATATTTGAGCCAGACACTTTGTATCTTACTGAGTTTTCACAGAAATTCCAGGGAGTCGATTGTATTTTCCTGTGTGAGTGCTAAGGAGCTGAGGTTCAGAGACATTAAGTCACTAGTCAGCTAGCGGGCACTGCAGCTCCATGCACCTTGAATTGTGGCTAATTCATGCTCTTGAAATTTCCTTCTAGCAAAGCCACCTCCATCTCCCTCTTCAGGGTTAGAGGAATTACAGGCTTATTTTATATACTTCCTGTGGGAGCATTTCTTAGTTCTATGTCGCAATTGCGCTTTACTTGTCTGTATTTCCCATTGCACTGTCAACTCATGGTGGTAGGGATTGTGTCTTGTTTACTGTTGAACTGCTAATGCCTGGCCTAGTGCCTGTTATAATAGGAGGATCTCAGTAAATACTTGTTATCTGAGTGAGTACAATTGTGGAGTTGAAATTCAGATCTGCTCGAGTCTATCATTACCATCCCAATGAGCACTGCAAGGTAGAGTGAGATGGATTCTGTGATAGAGACGCCGGGACTTTGCTGTGGAATCCCAAGGAAAGAACATATCATACTGACTGTAGGGGATGAAAAACTTGGCTTCTGAGCTGGATCTTGAAAGGGAGTGGACTTTGAAGAATTAGCAAAGGAGAGGTGTGAATGAACATGCCTTATTTGGAGAGTAGTTAGGTCAAGGTTGCTGTTGAGTAGTGACAGGATATATGAAGAAAGGATAACAGGGAGATAAAGTCGAAATAAAGTTTCGGACCAGGTTATAAAAGGCCTTAGAGTCTATGTCTACTAACTTGGATTTTATTTTGTAGGCAGTACAGATTCTGTAACTTTAAACATCCTTTTTTATTATAAATAGATATTGAAAACTGCATATAACAAAAGTATAACTTAATGAACTGTTATGTGTGTTACACCTATGTAACTTCACCCAGTTGAGAACCAGTACTTTCACTCAAAATCCATCCTAACTTTGACCTAATCACAACTCCCTCTCTCAGAAGTAAGCATGATCTTGGCTTTTTATAGTGTTTCCTTATAGTTTTATTTGTCACAAGTGTATCCCTAGATACTCTAGTTTTGCATATTGAAAACTATTTGATACATCTTTTGAGTCTGTTAAATTACAGGGTTCCCCTCCATCCCTTTCTTTTTCCTTACCACTTAGCTGTTAAAAAAATAAGGCAATTAACCCCTGGAGAGTCTCCCAGTTTAGACTGCTGATTCTGTATGGTTTTTAGTTGGAATGCTTTTATGACTCTTCTCTCATCTGCTTGTGTGGTTATTCAGAAATATAGTTCATATATATTAAGGTAAATTCTTGATTTTTTCCCATTCGAAAGCTCCCTATCTCCCTATCTCCTCCAAAGATGAGCATTTAGATTTTTTTTTTTTAATAATCATTATGGACTTGTATTTGAACATAGTTGGATGTGTTTTAATCTGCTGTAATTATTATCCTTATTGAAGTGCACATTATCCCATCTTTGGTCATTGGAAGCCTTTTCAGGTTGATTTCTGAGAGGTTGATTTCTAAGGCCTTTCTTGACATACTACTAATAGTCCTCTGCTTCTTGCTCTGATTGGGTAAGATGTTCTGAGTTCATTTTGTATATTTCCTGCCACAGACCTTTAATCAGAAAATTTTCTGGAATGCCCATTGGTTGCTGGGTTATTTGTTGTTTCTAGTGAACAGAGCTAGGAAATACATGTATATGTTTAAAGATAAAATACTTTGTGAATTCTTGCTGGTACTGTCCAATTAAAATTCAGAACTGTAGGTTTTTACATTTACAAATGATTCTTTTTCCAACCGAGTATTTTGGTTTTCCAGGATATGGGGAATTAGTATATCCCAATTATGTAGAATTAGTTTATCCCATTGTTATTTTTTGCCGTGATTCCATGTTTAAAACCACTACTACTACCACACCCACCAATGTGAATACTTAAAATAGTTTTAAAAAACCGTACTTTTTGCATATGCTTTTCCTGTTCTTCCCTCATTAAAAAAATAGTACTGCAGGTGTGGTGGCTCGTGCTTATAATCCTAGCTGCTTGGGAGGTGGAGATCCAGAAGATTGTGGTTCAAGGCCAGCCTGGGAAAAAAGTTGTCAAGATCCCCATTTCAGTAAATAAGCTGGGTATGGTGGTATATTTCTGTAATTCTAGCTACTTGGGGAGTGTAGGAAGGAGAATTGCCATCTGAGGCTGACACCTGGCAAAAAGCATGATATCCTGTCTGAAAAATAACAAAAGCAAAAAAGAGCTGAGGATGTGGCTCAAGTGGTAGAGTGCCTGCCTTGCAAAAGTACTGCATATTGTCTGAGTTTATGGCTATCACGTAGTACCTCCTTTTAGTCATACGTAGTTTCTATTAAGAACCGGCAAGTTTAGTGTTCACCACTAGCTCTTGTGCCCACAAACCTAGTCATTTTGGTTGTTAAAAGCAGTTTCTCCAGCTAAGGTTCCTCAGGAAGCGTCCATGGCATGGTTGCCTGAGCTCTGACTAGAACTTGTGTATGTACCTAGAAAACTCGTAAATACTTTTTTGTGCTTATTTGTGCTCTTTGCATTTGATAGTTTTGCTAGGTATAAAAATCCTTCATTCTCTTGCTTGTGAGTCTTAAATACACTCCTTTGTGTCCTTTTGGCTAAAGTGTTGCTGTCAGAAAGTTGGTGAGAATGTAGTTTTCTTTAATGTCTGGTACTTTTACTAGTGTAAAAAGTACCAGCATATGTGTTGGTGTTGGAGGATTTCCGTTCATATTCTCAGGGATGTTGTATTGTTTCAATATGTAGTTTGAAGTCATTTTTTATTTGAGGAAAGTTTCTTGTTCACAGTTTTTGGTATTTGTTCTACTGTTTTGTTTGTTTTTTTTCTTCTGAGTCTCTTACTGTCTTCTTGGTGCCACAGTCCTCTTTCTGCTGTCTCTCTTCAGCTATCCAGAACTGAAGCCTGTGCAGTCCATCAATGCCCATCCTTCCAACTGCATCTGTATCAAGTTTGACCCCATGGGGAAGTATTTTGCTACTGGGAGTGCAGATGCATTGGTCAGCCTCTGGGATGTGGATGAGTTGGTGTGTGTAAGGTGCTTTTCCAGGTAAGGGCTCTGCCAGACTTTTCCTTGTTGGACAAGTGAATTTTATTTCACACTAAGTGAAGTCATAGCCTCCTCTTCTGTGTCTGTCCTGTTACAGGCTGGATTGGCCTGTGAGGACCCTCAGTTTTAGCCATGATGGGAAGATGCTGGCGTCAGCGTCTGAAGATCATTTCATAGACATAGCTGAAGTAGAGACAGGTAACTGAGAACTTCTGTCTCCCATCATGCACACCAGGCCTGCACTGTTATTTGTCTTCAGCTCTGCACGTCATCACTCATAAATGGACATAAGTGAATTTGTCTCCTTGAGACACTTTTGCTTATATATGACTGTCACTAGAAGGTAATGGGGGAGCAGAGGGTTAGAAGGTGGCAGGTCTGAAGGAAAGTAAGTTGGGAAGATGTTTTACATTTTATTAGCTTTTAATTCTTCCATTATCCAGTGAATTTTTTAAGTACAAAGAAGAGGAAGAAAAGCATCACTTGGGTTCCCACCATCTAAATACTACTTTTTTTTTTAAAGGTTGCGTTTCTGCTTTTAGCTTATATACAACTTGCACAGATGCTTTAAAAAAATAATTTAAGGAATTATCAAAGTTTTTTCTTTAAAAACAACAAAAAAATATTGAAAATAGAAAAGTGGGAGGCTAGTATTCATTGTACAAAAGAATTTCCAAGTAGCAAGACTACTTGGAAGATGGATTGCAACTCGAGGCCAGCCTAGATAAAAAATCGATCTAACAATCAAGCTGGGCATGGTGGCATGCACCTGAACTTCCAGCTACATGGGAGGCATAGGCAGGAAAGTTATGGTCCGAGGCCAGACCTGGGCAAAACCTTGAGACCTTACATGAAAAACAACTAAAGCCAAAAAGGGTGGGGGTGTGGCTGAGGTCATAGAGTGCCTGCCTAGCAAGTGCAAACCCTTAGCTAAAAAAGGAACTCCTTTAGATTAATTTTTTAATACAGCTTTGTTCCTTTTGTTATTATGTGATACTTTTACTAAAAGAATCCACCATATAGTGGTGAGCATTGTGGCCCCCCCCACCATGTTGATCCCTGTATGTGATCTGTGTTCCTGTGTGCAGTGGCTCTCCATCTCCTCAGCAGCGTTTCAGTTACTTCTCACGGCAGGGGCTGTGCAGCTCACCTGTCATTCACTTTTAATGGAGTTTAGAACTACATGGATAAGTCAGAATATACTTAGCTATTCCCAACCATTGGGGGTGGTGATCTTTGCACCATCTTAAGTAACACTATGATGAATATCTTAGTTACTTATGTTACATGTGTGACCATCTTTGTGGATGAACTGTTGAAGTGGGATTGCTGAGCTGAGGCTGTTCACATTTTGTTCAGCGAGCTCACACAAAGGTTATTCCAGTGTGTGGTCTTAGCAGCAGTGCACAGACGTGTATGTTTTACCCATGCCTTCTTAAACTTCTGATCTTAGCCAGTGCATGTGTAATAGTGATCGAGTCCATGCGCAGCCTTGTAGGACTGTGTCTTACGTGGCTCCGTTACTTTTTCTAAATAGTTTGACAAATATTTCTAACATTTATATATATATATATATATATATATATATATATAATATATGTACATTTATATATACACACACATACAATTTTCTCTACAGTCTGCATTAAAAATTAAAAGCAAGGTGATTATCAAGCTAAGACAATTATCTGTAGCTTTGTTTTTATAAAAATGAGGTCTACCTGAATTTTCCTTAGGAGGGGTGATAAGTTGGTACACTCTTTACTGCACGCTGTGAGGAAGCGTGCATACATTTCTGTGTGTACTGAAGTGGTGAATCTGCGAGCCATGTTGCTGAGTGAACAGAGAAGGCAGTCAGGGTGTGCATGGGAGTGTCCCAGCTAGGTAAAGAAACTTAAACTGAATTGGTATGAAAACTTTTGGAAGACTTTGTGTCAGATGTAGACGACTGGAGGGAGACTATGTGATAGGGATAAAGGATCAATTTTAACTTAAATTGTTGATTTACTGATTGTTTGCTACTGAAAGTAAACAAAACTACAAATGCAGTCCTTTAGTCACTATGGGCCACTGCATCCACAGTGCAGAACAGGGCGTTTCCACTGCAGATGGTCTGTTCATACTTATTTCCACACATTAGTTTGCAAATTTATGTGCTTATTATAGAACTATTAGGAAAATGCAGAAAATATAGAGAAATTAAGTCACCCCAGGTCCATTTTGTTTTTTCAGGTCCATAATTTAGAGATAACCATTTCTAACTTTTTTTTCATATTTTTTTTATTGTGATATGTTCATTACACAGGAGTAGATTCACAGTGACAATTCTGATTAGGCTTATATTGTATATTAGTTATACTGCCCCCATAATCTGTCCCCTCAGCCCCCTCCCTGGCCCACTTAAAGCAACTGCGAGAGGTTTCTTTGTTCTATTTTATATAGGTGTATGAAGTCCATCCACTATACACCCTCACCTTAATCTCCTTCATTCACCCTCCGCCCTTGTTTCTAACATTTTATCTACCTCCTTCCAATTTGTTTTCCCCCTCCATCGATGAGTTCTTTACATTATTAGATACAGTTTTATATATCACATATCCTTAATGGTTGAATTTAGAACAAGGTAGGGATTAATTTTGACCTTGCTCTGCTGGCACAGCACAGAGCCTCACTTTAGCAAGTGCAGTTACTCAGTGTTTCCGGGGCACCGTGTGCCTGTGTCAGAGGGGTGGGGATGGCAGTGTTCGCTTTCCATAGTCATTCAACACATAGTCATTCAGCAGTTAAGCTTTCATCCAAATGGTAAGTTCAGAAAGCTACGTGGTAATTGGGAAACATTTTAGAAGGCTTCATGTCTACTTGGGTTTTCTTTCTTTTTTCTTTATTTTGGTGGTACCAGGGTTTGAACTCAGGGCTTTGTGCTTGCTAGGCACGTGCTGTACTGCTTGAGCCACTCCTCTGCCCTACTTTGGTTTTCTTTTCTTTTCTTTTTTTTTATGCTCTCTCTCTTTTTTTTTTTTTTAATTTTTATTGTTTTTACATTTACTCACACATGTATACATTGTTTGGGTTACCTCTCCTTCCCACCCCCCACTTTGGTTTTCTTGAACTGTGAAAAGTTATCTTAACCAGTCCCATAACAAATGACATGGAATTAAAGGCCTAAAGAGGAGTGAAAGAGAGGTTTGTGTGTAAGAGACTATGTCCATGTAACCTGGAAATATGCTAGACAGATAGCTGTAGACAGACGGTTAGATCCTAGACATTGTAGGTTGGTTTCTGTCAGGAAAACTGTGGCCCATTCCTGAGATAGAATTAGTTAAAACACACACACACACACACACACACACACACACACACACACACGGCTATAAATACATATATTTTAATAGCTTTGAGATATAATTTAGGGTCCCTAGAGTTGACCTGTTTGAAGCATACAATTCTGTGTACCCTGAGTCTTTAGATTAGCATCACACTGTAGGCCTTTTATGTTAATCCTAACTCAGATTGAAAAAAGTTAAGCAGAACTATAGTAGCTTTGGAAAAATGTACAGTAGACCCTTGGTATCTGCGAGTAACTGGTTCCAAGGAATCACTTGAGGAAAACTATGCATAGAGGTCAGTTCTCTGAAATCATTTAGAGTTCCCTATACCTATATACAGAAGGTCTGGGCATCCATGACTTGAAGCTGCATGGAGTAGGCTGTGTAGTAACTGTTGTATACATTAGTGCTGCTCACCAAAAACTAGATCTTATTTCACGCTCTTTAGCTCAAATACTGAGATACTAGCTTTATTTCTCCCATAACACCACCCAACTTCAACTACAGGCATGCCACCTTTCCACAAATCTCAAATTCTCACTTTATCACTTAAATTAAACACATTATATGTTCTTTTTGGCTTGAGAGGAGTACCATAACTTTTACCTTGCTTTTTGGGCACCGTTTGCTTTTTGCGAGGCAGATTTCCACAAGATTAAGGGCAGGGGAGCACTCAGCAGATCACGCCAGGATTTAAACACACTTGATAGTAACGAGGAACTGACTGAGAGCTGCTCCACATCAGCTGAGCTGCGCGATGAGCATGGGGAATTTAAAATGTTTGTTTGCTTTTGGAACTTCTGTCGATTTTTCATTTATTTATTATTTTTTGGGCTATGCCAGGTCAAAACGGCACAAAATAAATCTGTCAGTGAGGTAGGCTTACTCTACAGTTTTGGGAAAAATGAACTTCATAGGCTTTGTGACTTAAGCAATCTGTTTCTTTGGGGGCAGGCTGTCTTCCTGTGTGCCCCTGCCATGGCCTTGAGATGTGACTTTGTTAAGTCACTTTAAAGAGAAAATAATATGAGTTTTACTGGACTGTCGTTGGTGTACAATGAAGTATAAGCCACCTGATACTTAGGGTGCCCACCAGATGGTAGCCAGTTTTCTCCAGGGAGTACAGAACAGAGGCTCAGAGCCCAGGTGTTAGTGTTAACTCACCTGTTCTCAGACCCTGCTTTGCCACCTGTGGGCATGTGACTGCTCTGTCTCTCTGTGCTTCAGGGTTCCCTACAAAATGAGGTAATGGCTGTACCTATCTCACAGGATTATAAGTGGATTGCAGTGGTTAGTGGAGTAGTTAGTTACTTAATGAATGTGCTACTTATTAACATTGATTGCTTTCTTTATCTTGATTTCTGCAGGAGACAAGCTATGGGAGGTGCAGTGTGAGTCCCCGACCTTCACCGTGGCATGGCACCCCAAAAGGCCTCTGCTGGCATTTGCCTGTGATGACAAAGATGGCAAATACGACAGCAGCCGGGAAGCTGGGACTGTGAAGCTCTTTGGGCTTCCCAATGACTCCTGAGAGGAGACCCTGGCCCAGACCTTACTTACTTGGTGTAGTTGGGTCTGTTCTCTTGGACTTGGTGGACACCCTGGATGTTTGTAAATTGACATAAATTGCATGAGCCTTCTGTCAGGCCGCCTACTCCAATTTCCTTCCTGTTTCTTCTACAGTGCTGGGATCAAACCCAGGGCAGGGTGTGTGCCAGGCAAGCATTCTACCACCGAGCCACATCCCCAGCCCCCATCAGTTAGCTAATGAGAACTCTGCCCTGTGGTTAATGACCCCAGCATAGTTTGTCTTCCAGATTTTAGATATGTGGTAGACTTCGTTGAACTTGACACTGCTTAGATAATACTTAGTTTGGAGGGAGGGTGGGATAGGGATGGAGATTTTTTTAATAATAAAAAAATAACAGTCGGGTTCTGGTGGCTCATGCCTGTAATCCTAGCTACTTGGGAGGTTGAGATCAGGAGGATCATGGTTCAAGGTCAGCCTAGGTAAAGAGTTTTCAAGATCCATCTCAACCAAAAGCTGTATCTGTCACTCAAGCTATTTAGGAAGCTGGAGTGTGGAGGACTGGGGTCCAGGCCATCCTGGGCAAAAGTGAGATCCTGTCTCCAAAATAATCAGAGCAAAAAGGCCTAGAGGTGTGGCTCAAGAGGTAGAGTGCCTGCCTAGCAATTGCAATGCCCTGAGTTCAAACCCCAGTACTGCCAAAAGAAAAAAAAAATTATGTATATAATTTTGAGAATTGAGCATTTAATAAAACTAGCTTTTTTTATATGGGACTTTAAAATTTGTGTTACTAGTACGCTCTTACTGCAAGGAGATACTGTAGCTTTGTAATTTTTTTAGTCTAAGAAATAGTTTAACTGTTATAATTCTGTTTAGTGTTTTAACCAAACAGCTGAAGGTGTGCAGTGCGTGGGCTTGGCAATCTTTAATGTGAGTGTGTGTGTATGTGCCTGCCTCAGTCTACACAGGATCTGCAGACGGCAAACCAGGACAAACACTGAGAAAAGTTACAAAATACAAATAAATACAAAATCAGGATAAGACAAATCTAAATTAGAATAGAAAGTCAGGTCAGGGGAAATGAAGAAGAACTCTGTGAAAAATAAGAGCCTAATGACAGATTTAACTAAAATACTGATTTTGAACTTCCTGGTAGCACAGTGAAGAAGGGAATGAGTTAGTTAGCTGATGCTTATTATAACAAAGAAAGCCACTTGCTGGCTCCCTGGAAAACAAAGCTTTATTCTTCCCTCTGAAAGAAACTGCTCATGTAGAGAGGTTTTTACCTATCAACGATACTCTGATTTTCATTTTATCTGAATGTTTTTTGGCATTAAAAAAGAAAATAGAAATTTGATGTTGTAGGAAATTTTGGGAAGGGCAGCAAACAAAAATTCTTAGCAGCAAGAGACAAACATTACTAATGTTTTGGCAAATATCCTGCCAGTTTTCCCATGTCCATATTTGCATATATAAACATATTTATCTTCATAAAAGCCTTGAAGAGTAGCCAGATTAAACATGACAGTCTTATAAACAGTAGGTCTTCTAGACATGATTAGGAATGGCATTCCCTGTGAGCACTTTTACACCAGCTCTTCCTTGGTTTTTTCCACAGCCTTCGGAGGTGGGGATTTTACTACCTTGGGGAGTCTCAGTAACTCAGTTCTACCCATACTTATATTCAGTGGTGTCTCACTGGCCATAGGGGTTCCACTGCAGTGGGCTCCCCTGTTTCTGCAGGCTTTGCATTTCCATTTTACTTGGCCATAAGAAGTCAACGATTGGCCCAGGTTGGTGGGGATACATGCATTGATCCCAGTCTGGAGGCTCAGTAGTGCTTCCTCCAGCTTCCCAAACAGCCTGTCACCCACCTTCCCCGAGGAATGGTTTTCAGTTGCAATCCAGTGGTCAGAAGTTCAGTGTTGATGATACATGCTATTTGTTTTGCGTTGATCTGCCATTCCTGTGGTCACTGCTGTGCATTGGAAACAGATGCTAAGAGTTTGTCTCCATTTTAATATTTGAATGATTCTCTTCTCATCTGTCTTTGTGGGGCTTTTCTTTTTCTGGGCTTGGGTAAAGTAGTGGTCCACACTACCTGTCACTTAAGCCGAAGAATTTTTTTGGATTTTAAGTGTGGTACTTGTAGCGATAGGAAAACACTCATCACAGGGAAAGAGTGTCAACTTCTGGTGGCCTTTGCACATTGCCAACGTCTTGATGGGGAAATGGGGTTTCGTGTCCTTGACCTGGGGGCTCCCTGTGGTTTGAGTGAGTTTTATAGTTGTGCAGAGCTGGTCATTTAGTTTTGGTCAGTGGGGCACTTTGTTGCTCCTTACACTGCTAGGCCAGAAGTGAGAGGAGAGGCCGACTGGTGGCTAGACTTCAGTTGGCAGGGTAAGTCTGGATTTGCTGTTCCATAGACCTTCACGGTGTTGGCTGGAGTTATCAGTTGGAGCTAAGAAACAGGAACATCATAGTTATCATCTCATCTGAGGTCCTGGAGTCTATGGCACAAGACTCAGGGCAGATTAGCATTAGCAATGACATGTCATCTTGTGTGAGGTAGAGTGTGTGCTGGTGGCTTTCCCTGATGCTGACCTGTGTAAGGATAAGGCTTGGCAGCTGGGGTCCTGGGAAGCTGGAGCAGGGAGTCCTAGCTAAAGGCAGGTAGGTCCAAGGATCCAGAGGCAGGTGGATCCAAGAACAGGCTAAGCGTGCAGGCCAATCTCTCCTCGCAGGAGGCTGAGGGCTGGAGTGCCAGAGGGGAAGTGGGAAAAGGTCAACACTGGGAGGTCCCAGAGGAGTGCATGCGTGTGCGTGCGTGTGTGTGTGTGTGTGTGTGTGTTAGGAACTGGTTGGAGTCTGTTGCGATGTGTGGATGGACTATTTAAGAGTGGTGGTACATTTTTTGAGCCCTTTCCTGTTTCAAAGCTGTATTCTACTTCACAAAAGGACAAGGACATGTTTACCCTCTTTGGGAGGAGAAATAGATTAGAGGTCAGCCCCATCATCGCCAGCAAGCTAGGAGAGCTGGTGCACGTAGCATGCGCTGCAGCTCAGGAGCACCTGTGTGTGGGCAAGGTGTTGCTTTCTTTTCTCGCCCTGACACCCAGTGCAGTGGAAGCATCACTGGCTTCCTTTCCAGGACTGGATTTGAATCCTGGTGGGCAGTGATTTATTGGAAGAACTTTTCTCATCAGTGAGGTTTGGGTGATTCCTCCCCTCTCCAGTGGGTTGTTAGGAGAAGGAGAGTGTACAGTGTTTGCAAAGGGTGTCACCCAGCCCCCAGCCAGGGACGATGCTTGATAACTCCTTCCCTGTGAGATGGAGCAGCTGCTGAATGAGGAGAAAGGGGGGCTGCAGAGAGCCGTCATCTGTCCCTTAGCTCACTGGGGCCTCAGGTCGCAGCCGAGTGAATGCGATTGTGGGGCTGGGTGCTGTGGAGGAGGAGGCTGAGCAGAGAAGCACTAGATCTGTTTAGTGCCGCAGTCTGGGCCCAGGATGGATCTGTGTGGGTGTGAACAAGCAGAGCATATCTCAGACCTGCAGGGGGCCAGGGGAGAAGGGCTGAGCTCCTGTTAACTGAGGCTGCTGGGAAAGGAGTGGGTGAACGGGGGTGGCCTCAGGGCAAGTCTTGACTGATGTGGAGACAGGACCTTCGAGAAGGGGCACTGCAGCTTGGGACGTGGCAGAGATGGTGGCCATGTCCCGGGAGGTTGAGAAGACAGAAGCATATGAGATGGGGTCAAGAGGAATGGGAGGGCAGGTGTCAGGCTCTGGCTGGCCAAGGTGAGCAGGAAGAGGTGGGTAGACCTGGGTTCAGATCCTTGTTCTGGGAGGTTCTGGCCAAATTACTTCACCTCCATGATTTTGTTTTTTATTAATTTTCTTTTTTTATTTTCTGTGCTAGGGATGGAATCCAGGGCCTCACACACACCCGACAAGCACTGTATCACTGAGCTACATCCCCAGCCCCAATTTAAAACGTGCTTAAAAACAGTGTGACTTGGGCCACGTTAGTTGACATGTCGAAATGCCTGGCACCTTATTGCTGTTCAGTAAGTAGCTATTTTTGTCATGTACCCTATGTGTGTACTAGATAAACCTTCCTGCCTTAGGAAGAACCTTCCTGCCTTAGGAAGTACCTTCCTGTCCCTTGTGCCCATCTATTTTGTGCAAAAGAGAGGAGTTATAAATAATATAGTTTAGTTTACAGTAAAAATGCGGGGTGGGAATTGGAGTAAAAGGATATTTAAACACTGTTTTGTACCTGCTTATAGAGCTACGGCCCTTTTAAAATGTAGGGGTAGTATATTGAAAGCTGTTTAGCCAGTGATTACAAATTTACTAACAGTTTTCATGTTTGGAATTGTTGCCAACATGGAGCCATAAGTTGCTGAATTTTTTTTTGTGTGTGTGCTATGTATGACTCAAACCCAGAACCTCATGCATTCTAGGCAAGTGCTTTGCCACCGAGCCATACCCCAAAGCCCAAGTTGTTGAATTTTAAGACCTCCAGCATCTCAGTCTGGTATCATTTTGGAGAGCCAGGCCTGAGTGTAAGAACATGACCAACAGTGTCACAGTAACAAAGCCACCTGGGTATAGCTTGGCCACAAATCAGAAAGGCCACATGGATCTGTGAAGAATAAGTTGGTAAAGTGACATTTCCTCTTGCCTTTCTGGTAATATCACTGGAGTACAAGTCAGGGAATGGTGCAGATAAGGAATCTGTCCTTGAGCACCAAAGGAAATCTGGGCTGGTAAAGCCCAATTTGTACCTGGTCACCAGCTCTACCCAGAGTGGGGATTAAGTCAATTTAGAGACATGTTTCTCTCCGGAATTGAGAGATCATCATGGAGTTCAGGTTGAAGATCATTAGGCCTGCGGTTCCTTGTTGAGCATTTAAGACAGATTGCATCTCCTCCAAGATGGCAGCTGGAGTGCCCTCTTTTGGGTTGACCAAAAACTCAGCTTTCTCTGCCAAGCCTTATGCAAAGGAATGAGTGATAAATCGGACTACTGGATCCATTTTGCAGATGCATACTAAGGTAAAAGGTTAGAGCACTTGCCGAGGTGAGATGGTCAGGATGATGGTTTGAAGGCCTTGTTCCTGCCATTGTGCTATACCCTGCACTTGGTTCACAAATGTTCAGCCTCATCTGTGTGTGGTTTATCACTAACTCAGATGTAAAGGCTTAGGAGGCTCAGCAGTTTTATTGTCTATGTTGGGATTGATCTGGTTCCCTGTGGGAAAGGTGTCATGCTGCAGATGGGCAGGAACCAGAGATCAGGGAAGTTTAGCTTGGTGA